CGCCGAGGCGTCGGAGCGCCAGCAGCTGCAGCGGAGGCAGGATGGAGGTTGGGCCGCGTGACTGCTCGTAGACCTGTCGAGAGCGAACGGGTCAGTCATCGAGGAACGCGCGCGGAAGGAGGAAAGGCGGCGCACCTTGAGCGGGTTGATCTCGAGGTTCAAATCCTTGTGCTCGATCAAGCTGTTGATCCGCTCCGCCAGGACGCTCTTGAGGTAGCTCTGGCCAGGTCCTCGTCGCGTGTAAGTGGTCATCATGCGGGAGACGGGCGTGTTGGCACGGAGGAGAGAGCCAAATTTGGTTGCGGTCTCGAATTGGGCGGCGAGGACAGACTGTGTGTTGCACAGAACGAAGCATCCGTCAATGTGCTGGCCGCAGCAAGCTGACCAAAGGGAAAGCCGGTCCTCGCAACGCACCTGGAACACCGTCAACAGCAGGTGCTCTTCCCGCGACTCGTACTGATTCCCGTACAGCGTGAACATGACCGTTTGGAGGAGCGTGTCAATTTCGCTGAGCGAGACGAGGCGGCAGAGGGAGGCGATGTGTCGGGGTTCGGATTGGAGGAGGATGAAGAGGTTCGAGTATTGCTGCGAGGCGAGAGCCGTCCGCATGCGTCAGCACTTCGTTGCGAGGAACAGGCACAATGGCTGGTCAACAACACACCTGCTGCCGCCGCTCGTCCATCTCGATCTCATCGCCCTTGTCGATGTCCTGAAAGTGCTCCTTGACCTCTTCTCGCTTGTCCAGCGCCATTCGCTGCGCGTCAAAGAGCGTTTACGATCAGTCAGCGCTTCGCACGATACGCGGAGAAGCGAGAGAACGGAACCAATCTTCTGAACGCACATTCTGGATGAGCAACGCTATCCGACTGTCGAGGTACCGCACGTCCCGCTCCAACACAAAGTTCTTCTTCGACTGTGCCGAGATGCGCGCTTTGAGGTCTCGCAAGCGTTTCTGGGCTGCGGAGGGAGGAGAAGGGCGTTGGTCTCGTTTGAAGAGGTGCGGATCGAGTTGCGCTGAGCGGGTCCGAAGGGTCGCACCGCTGCTGAACCAGTCCTCAGAGCTCTTTTGCATCGTCCGCAATCGCATCCGCCGCCTGGTGCAAGCTAGCCACCTTTCTCCTCTTCCTGCCCCACCTCGCCGTCCCCTCTCCTCACCTGGCCTGGAGCACGCCCGCGAGCGACTCACCTCTTGCCAATTCATCCTCGATATCTGTATCCTGGTCTGCGATGAGGGACTGCAGCACCGAGTACCGGTTCGTGCTGCGATTGTTTGTTGTCGCAACGAGGCCGGAGGAGGAGGGGGCGGAGAGGTGGGTGGACATGGTGCGCGAGGAGGCGCGTCGCCGTGTGCAAGGGAGTTTGAGGAACGGTCTGGCAGGCTAAGTGGACGCGCTGGAGGAGTAGTGAGGTCGGGTCGCAAGCGGGGGAGATGACGATGGGGTGGAGCGGTGAGCGCTCAGCTCGCGCGAGTGGACAAGCGTTGTTCGCGGTCCGTAGAGGTCTAGCAATCTCAGCGAGCAGTCCAGCGAGCCTCTTGAGCAGCGAGTGTGCGAGCGACAGTGAACAACCCTCTCTCGCTCTCCTTGTTGCGACCAGGACGACCGCAAAAATGAATGAAACACCGCTTGCACGCGCAGGGAAGCGTGTGGAATGGATGACCGTTTAGAGCTACAGACAGAGTGCACAGAAGCTGATGGGCGATCTAAAGGCACCAAGCGAAGGGCTTGATATGAGGCAAAGAGGCGGAAGTCTCGAGTGTGAGGCTGCTGTTCCGCCATTGGCCTTGCAGGGCGGACTCCAGTAAGGCAGAGCAGGGCTGGACGTCGTCATCGGCCGAAGGAAGCAACGGAAGGAGACCGCCGCGAAGAGGAAGAGTGGAAGAGCAGGACGACGAGGACAAAGCCAAGTGCGGCAACTGTTGACGTCGACGATGACGGTACGAGGGCGCGTCGGAGGCCGGGAATTGCTGAAGGCACGCCGAGCGGTCCAGAGATGGACAGAGGGATGCTTGACGCGGAAATGAAAAGGAAAACGGGAAGGAATAGGATGGGATAGGATAGGATAGGATAAATTC